TATATATATATATATATATATATATATATTTAAAATCTTGCTGGTTCTACAAGCAATTACATCGTGTACGGTTTAGGAATTCGAGGAGATGTTAAGCCAAGTGAACTCTGACTCTTCACAGAGCATTAGCGAAGCATGTGTTTTGTCTTAACATTAATGAATGGAACATTCAGACAATTTCATCATTAGGGAAAATGGAACTCCTTCAAGAAATAATGCTTAACAGATATATGCAAATTCAAAAAATTAAAAATCAAAGATTTTACAGAAATTTTTTACAACAATTAAAAATGAAAATTGTTAAAATACGATTAGAAAAGTGACATTTTTTTCATGATGTTGATTTTGTACCATTAAATAACCTTAATAAGAGGAATACGAAAATAACTATGAGTTATGGACCTGATAACAAAAGAAAAGTGTTATGTAAACCTTGAATTGATATCGCAATAAAATAACAAGAGAATAACAGGTTCAAAAGCTTCACTTATTTATATTTCCCAAACTTATGAAATTCTTGTATGTAGCAAAAAAAGGGCAGAAAACTTCAATTAACTTCTATCACTTCCATCAGGCATAACTGATAAGTGAAAAAATAAAATGATGAAATTAACTGAAATGTTGTGAGATAATTATGAAGGAGTGAAATAGTCTCAACTAAAGTCATTTTTGCGTATTTCCAATATCTGCATGAGCTCTGTTAAATGTTCGTTACATATTTAATGTGGGATCAAAAAACTATTTGATTTGAATTTTTAATAAAATCTGGAAGATGGAAAAATAGCGTAAGGAGGAAGAGTGCATACATAAAAAGACCATAAAAATGTCTGTTTAAGCAGTTTGCTCTCAGAAAATAAGGAAAGAATAAACCACTAAGCGATGTAAACTAATTCTTGGAATATTTGTTTCTGAAAAGTAACCTTTACTCATCGATTTCATATCTTACTTTATCGCTTTTTTTTAGCTATCAAAAACCCAATTCCCTTCTCTTTCTTTACCGCTCTCAGGTTTGTAGGAAGGAAAAGATGATAAGTATGGGAATTTTCTAAAAAGTTTTTATATTTGATTTCATGATTACTGCGCCATGCTATGATTATAACATCATTATCATTGAAATCGTTTTAGTAAGCATTCCAAAAAAAATGAACTATGTTTGCTTGCCAATATTCCTTGACAACTATTATGTTAGATGTAAAAATCTAAATTTTGAGAACAATTATTTTGAATATATGATTTTCATTGCATGCTTATTAGGGAAAATTTGAATTGAAGACGATTTTTCACGTCTGTCATAGACTTGTCCAAAATACTGGAAGTTTTTGTGTTTTCATACAAACCAAGAAATCAAAAGAGTATTATTGTAATACTCTATGGATTTTAGACTTCACTAATCATATAAACTTCTATTTACTGAGAACTGTGAATTAATCAGTTAGTTAAAACTAGACTAAATGAAATGTTCAAAAAGGTTAACAGTTTAGTTATTGTTAACCACTCCCGAGATCCATCTAGTCTTAACTAACTGATGGATTCTAAACTCATTTTGTGCCATCTTTCATGGGGGATGGGAAGGAAGGTGTTATATTAGTCCACATAGTTAGAAGACACAACAGTAGCATTTGATGATGAAGTATAGCATCAGATCAAATAACCTCGCTGATTCTAATGAAAGGCTTATTCAGCTGGAATATAGGGATTTACGATTTCTTAAAATTAATCCTGACGACTAGAACGTTTCCAAGGTAACGAGACAACTTGTTCGCACGGATCCTTTTTGAACTTTGCAGAAATCCTTAATATGCGTTTATCTGAATTATGTGGCAAAATTATGTTTTGAAAGGATTAATTTATTACAACTTTTCAGATCGGCGTCGTTCTCTGATTTTCCGAGCAAAGAATAAATGGCAGACGAAGCATTGATGAAACTTGGCTTATTTGTTGATGCTTACAATAAAATACGTCTTCTCCAACCAGGTAATCCACAAATTGTTACATTTTGGTGTGCTTTTCATAAGCGATATCGCCAACAGCGATGTATACCCAATCTATCGCATTATATCATTTGTTTTGACTAGAAAAGCTGCAAAGGGAAATTTGGGAAGTTTAGAGTATAGCAAGCCTTTTCTTGAGAAACCAATTTTTCGATCTTATTCATATGTTATCTGTGGTGATTTGTGAGCTGACGCAGGTATGTCACCACGTAAACATCACTGGTCAAAAGTTACATGCTCACAGAATTTTAGATGTTGCGGATGCCTCTAACGAACTTGTTGAAGAAGTGAAAGAAATTGTGAATAAATTGAACACTTTCAGTGAAGCTACAGAAGCAATTATCAAAGCATTTGATGGCGTAAGATTTTGACAAATACATCATCATACTGATATGTTGCAGGAAGCAATGAAATATTATAAAATATGTTCTGCTTAATTTTAGTTAGCGATAACCGTGGAAGGTGAGAAAATTCGCGCGATGTCATCTAGAAATGCTTTGAAAACCACAGACAAACAGCACGTTGCCAATGAGCAACAATTGCAAGTTTGTTGATCGGTCTTGAACTTATCTTTCATTTAAATTGAAAACCATATGTTAAAACTTGAACAGTCCTAGCGTATATCTTCTAAAAAAGGCGATGCATGACGATCATATCTTCTAGCCTACATTTTTCAACTTTAAACTTGACGATCAATTGATTTCAACCCTATTTTGGTCAAAGACTGAAGCATACACTTTTTAATATTTTACGTAAAATACGTGGTTCCGAATTTTGTCTTCCACACTTTCCACACTTGTCTGTTTTTCGATCGTGATCATTTCAAAGAACAAGTGCTGAAGTTTTGCAGATTTTGATCCGAGAAAGGGAAGTGGAGTTGGGAAGGTTGCATGCTGAATTGGAAAGTACTCAGAGGCAAGAATTTGCCCTGAAAGAATATTTGCAGAAATTTTCATCACCATAAATCTTTCATCTGTGCGAAATGAAGATTGATTTCTAATTGTGTAAGATACATTTTACTCGTCTCTTTTCAAGGCTTAAGTTAGTTGAAAGAAGTAACCTTTTCTTTTTTCTCAAACTTATCCCTTTGCATTAACTTATCCTAACTGCTTATCTCCTCATGTCGACAGCAAGTCATTTTTCTCCTTTGGTATGATGTGAAAACAGATGGCATTTTGCACATCATTTTCATCACTAATTTTGTGACAGATGATGACTTTGATAATGCTAGATGATGCTTTCAATCAGGAAAAAAATGGACGAAACTCTTCATTTAGTTTAAGAGTTCCTAAATTCTAATTCACCAATCAAAATTTGAGATGGAAAGTACATTTGAATTACCAACTTTTGTTGCCATTTTGCTTGAATTAGAAATACACTTTTTCCTTTGAGACTGTTTTTACCCTGACTTGAACTTCTTTCCACAAGAAAGAAAAAGTAAATGTATACTTGTATATCGTTGCAAACAAAAACACTTGAGATGGCTTGAACATTCTGATTACCGCATACAATTTGAATAATAATATTCTCAGTCCTGGGATATGGTCCATTTGTGCTTTGATCAATCGGCTTCAGGATTTAAGCCAAATAAATTGTCTTCGTTTTCAGTTCCTGGTTTTCAGTTTCCTTTCAATTTTTTCTGTTTTCCTGAAATCCTTTTCAACATTTTTTAGAAAACCCACATAAAATTTATTCAGGCGATTAGGTTTTAACTCATGTAAAAAGTACCTGAGAGACTGTTCTCAGTTCAACATAATGAAATGCACAGTAACTCAAACAACCTTAAAATATGGTAACCGATTATAGATAAAGAGCTATTGAAAATTTGGGAGCAATAAAAATTAAGTACCAAATTAATGGAATAAGCAGTGCAAGACCACCTCAGTGAAAGCTATGCAACAATTTAGGCGTTTAAGATGGGTTACACAAGGCATGAACATAGCAACGAGAATGAAACAGAGGTTCGTCATCCTTCAAACTGGTAATCCAGAATACCCACTGGACGATAATCCGTGATTATGAATTTCTACAGAAAACGTGTTATAATCCCTATTACAATTTCAAAACTGGAATTGCTTCATTTCCGATGTTGGAGGAAGTGTACAATGTTAATAATCTTTACGTAAAAAACCGGAGGGGTTTAAATTACCTACAACCAAATATAGCCGGATCGATTCAAGCAGAAGGAGGCGTTATTCTAGCATCAGGCAGATGTAATGCTCTTCCACGATGAAATAATTCAGCTGTTTTGCATTTGACTAGTTTTACAGAAGAACTAAAGTCTTTGAAAGTTTGAATCTGCTTGGATATTTCATTGTTTATTGGAAACTACTTCAACAGTTGTGGGTTTTTTGTGATTACAGATATAAATAGCACTGATAAGGAATCTGTCCAGAACATCCCCATAGTAATAAAAATAGTCAACTTTGCCAAATCATGGAAAAATACATTTTTTGAAAGTTTTAAACAATCGTTAATACGTAACCATGAAATAGCTCACTAAAGTAAACAATCTGATTCACCAACAGTCTAATCAGCGAGTAAATTAAATTGCATGAGTGCCAGCAACTATAGCTTCTTTCGAAGATTCAATAAAATGAATCTGTCAGATTTACCAGTTTGTTTAAATGTGTTCGGCAGTACATCAAGAATGTAACCTATTTTGAAATACGATAATGGAATACAACGATTATGTTAGGGGTAAGCAATATATCTCTGCAAGATGAGAGTCAACAACTGCCCTTTCGATTTGCAGAATTTGCTGTTAACAGAAGTCGATGGATTAACTTAACTAATTTCACATGAAAAGTTGCGACACATTTGATATGTATAATATGTAAGGTAATGAAAGCAAACTTCCATCATAATCAAACCTAACTGCTGCTATTCTAAGTAACCAGATTATCCGGACAACAGCATCAGCAATCACTGTCTTAGCTTTAGATAACATACTCAAAAGCCTGCATACAGTTCAACTTTTTTTGCTTCAACATCTTATCGCCGAAATACAGTCACGTATTACCTGCACCATCATTATCCACAGTAGAGAGAAGTTAAAGGCATCAACAATCTGGAAAAATCGGAAGGAAACGTAACTCATACACTGCTCGCTTGAGCGTTACAAAATTCAAGACGTTATTTCACGATTCCATTAAAAAGAATGTTGATAAAGAAAAATTATATAGAAGAAAAACATTAAAAGTAATTATAATGGAAAAAGAAAAAAAATCTAGGTGTTGCTTTAACATTAAAAAAGCAACAATTAATCATTTCACAAAGTTTCCGCCTCATGACCACCTGTACGATTCGATCCAGAAGCTGTTCCTGTTTGTCCTGTCTCTCAGATTTTTTTGTAAAATCCCAGTAATATTTTGCAGTTGGGGCAAATGTGATTCACATCCTACAATTAAAAATAATCTATAAATAGAATAATTTGAAGACATCGAAAATCTGGTGACACAAGAGTATCACTGATGTAAAGCACCAAAAAATTTCGGTATCGAATGAAAGTCAGAAAAATGAATTACCAAACAATCCCTAACGCAGAATGGAATTAAACAGCAACCAAGCCAGCACCTGTAAATGAAAACTATATTAGCACCAATTACCAAAGCTGAGGATTTTTCCTATAAAATATTAAATAACAGCGAAGTGGGTACTGAAATCCAAAAAATTCCATATAACATGCTACTCATAATGCAGTAGTAGTAGTATTAGTACCATTTCGATGAGTTTTTGAATTATAAGAAATCCTCATTTTGGATTTGAGATGAGAATAAGCTAGCATGACAAAATGAAGCATATTTCACTACTTATCATGGCTTGAGAATCGTTTCATTGACTTGAGCCAACATCAAATAAATACAAAGTAGTATATGCTTCAATTTGACTCATGTGATAATTTTAGGGAAAAATGGCATAAAATTACAAACCCAAAAAGCAGCAGTATTCCACAAATCGTGAATGCTAGTAAACCGGCATGCGTATGTGTTTCCGTAACAATAGCTTTATTACAACTGGGACAAGTCATTGTACAGGAACGTGGTCCAAAAACTGGCACACCAACAATAACTGGTACCGCATGTGGCTCTGAGTACATCGTAGAATTTGCTAAAAAGTTCAATAATTTGTTACAGGACCACCAGAAATACAGTTTATCATCAGTTCAATTTAAATTATCGAAAACCATAAAATAAGGGAAGTGAGAGGGGTCTAATTCGAGTGAGTTGTCAAGTAAAACTAATTTTGATGCTTTTCATATATACGAGACCGTATAAGATCAGTTATTACTTCATATCTTCCAGAACTGGATATCACAAATAATTTTAAATGAATCCTTATAAAAACAGTTTGATAACTAACGTAATATAGGACTGACGGTCTGTGGCATATATGCAGGATTACTAGATGGTTGTGGTGCTGGTGGAAAAGGCCCGAAATTTCCTGCTGTTTGTAATATTCCATTGTTTGTGTTTGGGCCGACTGTTGCCTCTGAAAGGCTAATGATCACCTTTGAATTAATATAGTAACTAACATATTTCAGAACAAATTCTAGGCTGGCGTTATCAATGCAAGTCAACAAAACGGCTAATATTTTACCGAGAAAACAACGAAACTTTAATCTAATAGCACGAAGAAAACTTTCCAAAATGATGTAAAAACGAACCATATGATGGCGGACCTTTCTGGTGATTGTCTTCGAAATTATTCATTGTTATTCCTGAAAATGGCACAAACTAAACACTACGTCTATGAATTTCGTACTGTAGTGGATGTGATTTAAAACTAAGTTGAAATTAATTCTAATTTACTCGTTCTGGAAAGATAACCCCAAATTCAGACAAAATATCCAAATGCTTCCACAATATACGCAGACATCCGAGCGAGGGTATACCTGAACAACGAGAAATAACGATATGGACGCTCTGCAACTGAATGGCTTTCAGGATATACGTCTAAATCAGAAGAGAGGAATTAGAAGGAATGTGTGTCATTTCTGTTGAATTTAAAGAGCACAATAAAGTAAGCATACGGATAGTAGTGGAAGAAATGATCACGAATGGATACGGTGACGCTTTGGAGGACGTTTAATGATTGTACTATCAATGAATCATTTGGATTATAAACGATTGACAATACCATCAGACGAAACTTTTCAATGATCGTTTTTTCTCTACTTTTCATCAACTTATTTCTTTCCATCACGATCGACCGGAAACAATTGTGAGATTTATTTAAATTAGTGAGTCATCGGTACTATTGTCTAAAACCATAAACAGTAGAAGCAACTAATTCTGATTCAATAGTCATTTGATGATAGTTGCGCAACCGAAGATGTCATCTGTTGACAAATTCTGTTTTTGAGAAGCGGATGGGATGTCCAAATGAAGCTTTGCTTAGCTTCCTTTGTTTGGCTTGCCATTATTTGTCAACATTCTGCCAATCGTTTCTGTGAGGACATCATCAGCTGCAACTACCGGTAAATGACCAGCTAATCAAAATTAGGAATAAATTACTGTATTGTAACAAGATGCAGTTTGGCGCAAATATCTGCTGTGATGTGAACAACAAACTGGTGTGAATCCGTCGCTCTCTCCAGTTTCCGGTTTACCATATTTATCCTGTGGTTTTCTGCAATTTCGCACTCTTAGATATACTATTATATTTTCTATCGAAATCTGCCTAAATGTTGTCCAGAGTCCATAAAACCTTACGACCTATTAGGATATTTTTCAACTAATTATTAAAAAGTGCATTATCTTCAACAAACATGTCTCCCAAACACATACACCATTGGCTTACTTTAACCGCCTGGTCGCAGCTGATGAGCTGATAGTACGTGGACTGATTTACGTCTGATAACCAACCATTTACCGCTGCGTTTTGGTTTGTTGCAACGTTGAAGTAGTAGCTGGAATAACAATAATTACATAAATATTCTTGAAGGAAGAGTTAGTTTGGAAGCAATTCGAGAACTGCTGGTATACGCTTTGCAGAACTCTTCACAGTGCGAAATAATTCAAATATTATAAAGAAACTATCGAAGTAGTCATCTCACATTAGCTGTAAAACGAACGATCTCTGAGGTGATTCAAATGATAAATTCAGCTGCAAGAGTAAAATAAACAACCGGGGCCATAATCCTAAAAGTGGAGAAAGGAAAAAACAAAGTTTCGAAATTCCTGAAAGCAGAAATTTATTTTACCCATAAATCTCTTCAGTTTTTCTAATTCTGCCACGATGAATCAGCTGTATACTTATTATTACTATTACATATTTTGTTTGGTTACGAGACTGTAACTATGGCATTTTGATTACAGTGTCATAGTTACGGTGATATGTCTGCGGTATCGTGATCACGGTGTTACGATTGCAATATTACAATTGCGGTATTATGATTACGGTATCATAATTAAGGTGTTATGAATGTAGTGTCATAGTCAGGATATTATGATTGCGGTGTTATGATTAGATCACTTTAACTACGGTATCTTGATTGCCGAATTAAAATTACATGCAAAATACCATAATCATGATATGCATTGAACATTGTAGTGAAATTCCAAAAAATCTGCTATGAAAAATTTCAGAAAATATCTGCTACGGAAAATTTCAAAAATCTATGTAAAATTCCAGAAAATATCTACTATGTGTGGAAAATCACAGAAAACATCTACTATGGAAAATTTTAAAAATATCTATGGAAAATTCCAGAAAATATTTGTGGATATCCATATCACAATACAGATACAAATATAAATACAAATATAGATATAAATATAAATGCTAACATAAATATAAATATAAGCATAAATGTAAATATAAATATAAATATAAATATAAATATAAATATAAATATAAATATAAATATAAATACAAAC